TGCGCGTAAATAAAAGAAAAGAGTTTGGTTACCGTGGCAAAGCAAAGAAAAACTGATATATCAGATACAAAAATTAAATCCACGAAAAAAATATTAAAGAAGCAGAATTAATTTTAAAGAACAAAGTTTTTAAACATTTTAAATTTGTGAATTTTTTAAGTTTATAATCTTTTAAATGCTTAATCTTAAGTTCTTTATCGTGTTTTTCTTTGTCTTACGTCTTTTTATTTATTGTGTTCTTCATTAAAGTAAATTTGTAAAATAAATAAAGATATGAATATTCTGTTTGCTCATTTAAAAGACCATATACATATTTGTATTAAAATCATACATTTCAAAATTCTGAAAAGCAAATCCCTATAATTTGTAAATAACTCGTCCGCCATATTGGATCCGCCATTTTGAATTTTTAAAAACTAACATCGGATTCGTAATCAGTAACCCCAAAAACCCCCGAGTAAGGAATTTCAAACGAATCCGATCAATTTTTAAAAAAGTCATTCGTCATATTGGAGGAGCCATTTTGAATTTTTAAAAACTATCATCATATTCGTAATCATCGACGCTAAAAACCCCCGAGTAACGATTTTCAAGCGAATCCGATCAATTTTTAAAAAAGTCATCCGTCATATTTAATTCGCCATTTTGAATTTATAAAAACTAACAACGGATTTGTAATCAGCGACCCCGAAAACCCCCGAGTAACGATTTTCAAGCGAATCCGATCAATTTTTAAAAAAGTCATCCGCCATTTTGAATTTTTAAAAACTATCAACGGATTCGTAATCAACGACCCTGAAAACCCCCGAGTAACGAGTTTCAAGTGAATTTGATTAATTGCAGAAAAGTTTGTCAAATTTGATTTTGCTGTATTTTTTTTGTCAAAGTACCTAACTTTGAAGTGAAATTATTTAAAAAAAACTAATGCAGCTAGAAAGCTGCGGTTTAATGCGTTAGAAAGAGCGGTTTATTTACCATAAGAATCAATAAAAAAATGAAAATCGATTTTTTCGGACCGTAGGTCCCTACTGTCCGTGTCACATATATCAATTTCTAGAACATTGTTTCATTTGAATATTAAACAATTTTTGAAAAATAAAAAATCTCCCACAGAGCCATCTGTTAACAATGTTTAGAAGTTGCAAGCGACTTTCCGAACGCTTACTGTTTCATTTATCTAAAATTTTCAATTAATTATTAATTAACTTTATTAAAGTCTGTGGTTTTTCATTCTGTCCGTTCGCAGTATGAAGTTAGTTGTTAGTTATCATTTGCGAATTATTATCATGATTTTTTTGTTTGTTTATATTTTTCGTGATGTTTTGACATTTCCGATGTTATGTTATGCGGTAGTGCGGGTGTTTTTAAAAAACGTTAAATTGTGACAAGAATTATTGTGTTTGAAAAATCGTGGAAAAATATCTGGTATCAGGCGAGAGGTTACCGTTTTCAGTGGAAAAAAAACTGTAGATTGGTAAATTCTAATTATTAATTAAAATTTTCTTCTTAATTAAATCATTTATATTATTTCATTTTATTTTGTTAAATAAAAATCTCAAAATAACTTAAAAACAAATTTTATTCGTATATCTTATTATTATTATTATTATTTTTTTTTATTTATAATTATAATTGATAATATTTATTGTATTTTGATTTATTATTATTATTGAAAATTTTATGCATTTTTAAAATCTAAAAAAACTGAAATATCGAATTGTCAATAAAAGTTGTATTATTTTCAATTTTCAACGATTATTAATTTTAATTAAAAAATTCAATTTTCCTGAATCAATAAAAAATATCGTTCTAAATTTTATTACATTGGTCGTTTTCGTAAATTACTATTCAATAATATTAATTATTCAAAATAATTAATTTTTTAATATTTAATTTTTCAAAAATTTAATTAATCTTCAATTATTAACTTATACAGTGCAGGATCTAGAGTCTAAATTTTTTGGGAAGAGCGATCCCTTTAGTGTGTGCTTTTTTTGATTGCTATTATGAGTGATAATAGCTCCTGGTTCTTTTATGTTTAAAAAATTGTTCGAAATAATTAATTTTTCAAAAATGAAAAAAAAAATTCAATTGTTTCAAATTTTAATTAATTTTAAAAAAATGATTTTACACAAAAAATTTATTTATTTTTAAAAATAATTGCAATTCAAAATCTATTTGAATTTAGTATTTTAATAAATTACTTTTTTTATTATGTTAAAAATAAATTGTTTTTTTAAATATTTTATTAATTTTTTACAATATTTGAATTTTAAATAATTCAAAAGTCAATTATTAATTATTCAAAAATAAATCAAACAATTTTAATTAATTCAAAAATAAATTATTCTGTTTTTAATAAAAATTTAATTATTTTGAAATCATTGAAAAATGTAATTGTTCAAAATAATAATTAATTATTCAAATATCAAAAATACAATTAATTCAAAATTAAATTATTTCATTTTAAATAAAAAATTGAAATTAATTTATTGGCACTTACGTAAAAAATAAACGTATTTCTGTGTGTGTTTGTGTGTAGAATTAACTTATAAGTGCTTTCTTTTGCAAGAATTAAACTTATCGTTATCTTCTGTTCAAATAAAATATAAAATGTTAACGTTTTTTTTAACACAATATCATAGAAAATAGATTTTCTAAAAAGAAAAAAAAATAATGAACTTAAAAAAAATACTTTAGGCACCGCCTTTCATTTCAACTATTTAAATACTATCAAGTCTTTTAAAGACTATATAAAGTCTTCAAATCATGAAAAATACATAATAAAAAATTGAATTATTCCGAATAAAATTCAAAAATCAACAAAACAATCAATTTACAATTAGGGCCATTTGGGGTAATTGTAAACAAGGGATAAATGTAAACAATAGATGTTTCAACTAAATTTACAAATTTAAAAATTAGTTTTAAAAACTTGAAAAAAATTGTTCATAAATTTAAATTACTTTAAAAATATCCAATTAAAATTATTAAAGAAACACAATTATTAAACAAAAAATAAAAAATAATTCTTCAGAAAAATTTAATTAGGGTTTCCAAAATTGATTTAATGATTTTTAGCGAAAATTTAATTATTTTCATAAATAATGACATTTTTTGAAGAAATTCAATGATTCTCAAATTTTTTGCAAGAATTTAAATGAAATTCAATATATTAATTTTAATTAAAGAGGCATTTCACGTCAGAAATATCACGATTTGCAAAGGGTATGCCGATTTTCGCAAAAGTTTGTGGGATTATAGTTCTATATAAGAGACTTCTTTCCCCCAAATTTTTTCAAAAAAAATTCAAAATTGTTGAAGATACGCCATTTTGAATTTTAATATTAATTTTATAAAATTTTGAATATCTCGGAATATTGTTTATGGATTTTTATGAAATTTACACATTTTTCAGGTAAAAGTATGTACTTTAAAATGCAAATAAAGTTAATAAAAAAAAAATTAATTTTTAAATAAAAAATTAAAAAAAATTTTTTAAAACAATTTTTTGTTTATTTACTCCTCTCTGAGAAAAATGTTATTAACATATTTGGATTCCTTATGAATTCACCTTTAATTTCATAAAAAAAAATTGATGGAGACTCAACTGGTTCCAGAGATATTGAATTTTTTGTAAAAAAATAGTCATAGTTACAGCAGCAATGCACGACTGCGGTAACGTACTACGCGACTTGTGCAGTATGGTGCTATGGCGCGGCGACGCTTTTTTTTACAAAAAATTCAATATCTCCGGAACCAGTTGAGTCTCCATCAATTTTTTTTTATGAAATTAAAGGTGAATTCATAAGGAATCCAAATATGTTAATAACATTTTTCTCAGAGAGGAGTAAATAAACAAAAAATTGTTTAAAAAAATTTTTTTTAATTTTTTTATTTAAAAATTAATTTTTTTTTATTAACTTTATTTGCATTTTAAAGTACATACTTTTACCTGAAAAATGTGTAAATTTCATAAAAATCCATAAACAATATTCCGAGATATTCAAAATTTTATAAAATTAATATTAAAATTCAAAATGGCGTATCTTCAACAATTTTGAATTTTTTTTGAAAAAATTTAGGGGAAAGAAGTCTCTTATATAGAACTATAATCCCACGAAGTTTTGCGAAAATCGGCATACCCTTTGCAAATCGTGATATTTCTGACGTGAAATGCCTCTAAAATTAAAAATATTGAAACATAAAATTATTAAAGAAGATAGGAAACAAAAAAGTAAATTACAACTAAATCAAAGAAGATAGAAGAAGAAGATATTAATATAGAGAGAAGATATAAAGATAGAAGATGTTAATTGAATAATTTTATATTTCTAAAAAAAATGTATTTTTCATTCTTTCCAGCATTTCCATTTTTTAAATTTATTTAAAACATTATAACGTCATAATAATAATTAAAATACCCTTAAAAATAATAATAATCATTTTAAAGAATTGCTATTTTAATAGAAAAAATATATTTATATATATATTAAAACATAAAATTATTAAAATATTAAACAAAAAAAAAATATAAACTGCGAACAGATATTTTCAATTAATAAATAAAAATTTTAATTTATTTATATAAAAAAAGAAAATGCAAAAATATATTAATTAATAGAAGATGAAATAATTTCTTTAATGGCATTTGAACCATAATGACGTCACAATTTGTTCACAGCATTTGCTAAAAAATTGTGACATCATAATGGTTCAAATTCGCTGAAAAAATAAAGTTTTAATTATTTAAAATAAAACGTTGAAAAAAAAATGCACGCGCGCTCGCGCGCGTCAGTTTTTGCTAGTAAATATTATTCTTACTGTTCCGACTCTTTTAGTCTTTTATTCTCGCGGTACAATCATTTTTTGTCATATTATTAAATAATTAATTACTTTTTAAATAAAATTAACAAAAGAGAATATTAATGCAAGTAATTTCCCGCCCAATTTGTGAATCTATCGGAAGTGTTGTCGGTTGTCGGTCAATTCTCCAATTCCAGTAAAAAAAAACATGGTGTCAATATAATCACCCGCGAATTTCAGCTCTCAAATTTCTTTCATAATCTTAAAAAGAAGTACTAATTTATCAAAAAGTTTACTCACTGAACAATTCAGTACATTTATCGGTTACTTTAATCAATAAATATCAAAAGAATTATTTTACTTTAAGCAAATTTCGAAAAGATTTTAGTTCACGTGGTGTGAATGTTTTTTTCATTGCCGGCTCAAATTATTTTCTCGTCCACGTGCGTTTACCATATTATTCTCTGCTTCAATCAGAACCAGATTTTCAAGTATAAGCAGCAAGTTTACGTGAAAAGGTAAGAAATTTTTTTTTATCTTAATATTAAAAATAACCAAAAAACTGTCATATTCCATTTTCTCCCCTTCTCCACCCCTTTGTCCTTGAAATTTTTCTTAATAACGAATTTTTCAAAATACCTATTTCTAAAATGATAATATTGAAATCGGTATTTAATTTTGAATGTTGAAAAATTATTTTCATAGGCATAATTTAATTAAAGATTTATTTTTTCTTTTTTTTAATTTTCTAATTATAGAGAATTCTATAATTTTAATTTTATATAAATAAAGAAAACAACAAATTTATGGATAACTGTTCTATTTTACTTGATGGTATGTTTTGTTACATCAGCTTAAATACTTTGTTTTCAAAGTCTTCGATCCCCTTGGCAATGCTGAGACATGAAATATTGTTTCTTTTATCTAAGAAAATTGTCACTATACAAAATGGATTATTACGATCTATATTTAAAACGAAGGAGGGGATGATTATCACAAAATTGTCGCGACGATTTTTCTTTTCTTTTTTTTGTCAGATTTTTACGAAAATCTGTTATAGCTGTTAATTATTTAATTATCTCAATTTTATATAATGGTATTCGATAATTAGCTTGATGTATATATTTATATATGTATACATTTTATACTATTGTAATAACGCTGCAGTACTGAAAAATGTTTCAATTTCCCTAAATTATTAACTCCAAGTATATAATCAATTACTTTACAAAGTGCAATTTCAGAAGCTTTTGCAAGTACTTTTTTTTAAAAGTGAATGATTCCCAATTTTCATTTTTTTTCTTTTGGAAAATATATATGTTTCGCTTAATAATTAAAGCATACACGTTTTTTTAATTTTAGGAAAAACATTCAGCATTTTATTTTATTGAAATGTGATGATAGGTAATATATCATAAAAAGAATCTCCGTGATATTTATCCTTCTATATTAACTATTGCAATTATCAATTTTTAACAATTAATGAAGTAAATAATTATTTACATCAATTACAATTTTCCATCAATCACGGTTCAATAGATACTAATTAATATACATACAATTCTTATCCGCCATGTATAATAGTTAACGTGATGTTTATTACAATTGTCATTATTCTTATAAGATAATTATTCAATGCCAACAAGTTTGAGATTAATAATTCTCGGTGAATGTCTTCTTAAAATTCAAGTTAAATTTTCAAGTCTACATTCAGGTCTAGCCTGTGTTTCCAAATATTGAATTTCTGCTTTTTTTTATAAATAAAAATTTTTTTTTACATGAAAAGAAAAATATTGCACAAAATGCTGCAAACTTTAATAGAAATTTAATTCTTTTTCTTAATTTCTAACAACATTTCATTAAAAAATATTATTCACGTTTGAAAAAAATTAATTTGTTAAAAAAGATTTACATTGATTTGTTAGAATTAAATTAATTCATTAAAATTGTTAAAAAATTAATTTGACTAAATTAAAATTTAGTCAAAATAATGAATTTTCACTAAAATAAAAATCAACGATAAATTTAGCTCTTTTTTTAAAAATAACCAGATTTAATAAATAGATTTTCAAAGGAGAAAAGAATTTGAAAAAAATTTCAAAGAACGTTAAATATAATTTTAAAAAAATAAATTTACAAAAATTGACTATTCTAAAAATATTAAAAGTTTTTTGTGCCTCTTTGGACGAGATAGTTAAAAACGTTCGTGTCGTAGAATAATTGCAAATTTAAAAAAAATAACTTATAATTTCAAGAGCCGTACAAAAAAAAATTTTTCTATAAATTCGTTTAAAAATTAAAAAAAAACTTAATTTTTGAAAAAAAGACTGGCGTTATTGCAGATTTTCAATTTTTGCAGATAATACTTAGTCACTTATTCAATATTGTATTCAGTACGTGTACAATATGTTGTTACAAAATACAGAATACAGTCATGAACTCGTTAATCTTAAGCGCTATTTACAATTCCATGTAAAATCTAGCTCAATAATTAATCATTCCTAATATTTAGCTAAATTACTTATTACAGGATAATTATTTATACATAGTATAAGTATGCGCTAATGATGGAATTTCTGTCGTTTTTTTTTCTTTTTCTTTTTCTTTTTTTTATCATAAAAAATAAAAATACTGGGTCGTTTAATTCAAATCGAATCACCGTTTTCTTTTATTTCACATTTTTTCTTTCTATTTCATAAATAAAAATTATTACTTCATTCCAAAGCAAACCACTTGTATGTATCACAAATATAAATGATAACTTCAGACACGATTTGAATTAATTATCCAGTTTTATCACTAAACAGTGGAAAATCCTTCATTGGATTTTTATTATTCCTGCTCAAAGAATGTGCAAGTAATAAGAAAATATCACGCTAAAAACCAATTTATAAATTATTCGTTTTTTTCTAAAGAATAAGAAAAAAGAGAAATTATTTTTACGCCGGAAATATTAAAACCGATTGTGAAATAGAGAAAAGAGAAATCTAACGTCTAAAATAATTAAAAAGAATAAATTTACATTAAAAAAAACAAAAATGTACAGATCTCACTCTTACAAATTGTAGATATTAGAGATAAACGATTGGAATGAATATAATAATGCATCGAACACATTTAGGTACATTCTAAAAATAGTGAAAGAACAGTGTTTAGTGAAACACTTTTTTTTAATAATACAATGTGTAAACTTATAAAATGTGAAATTCGCTAGTAAAAAGAATACTTATTCATTCCAATCGTAATGTGAAACAATCGTTAATGATTTTACGTTCTTGGAAAGACTTTCAACAACTAAAATCATTTTGATAATACAACTTAAATAAATTCTAAGCTAAATTATATATAACTTGTTCCAATTTTGTGGAATTCTTTTTTCTTTAAATTTCGTAGCTCTGCTACGTTTTACCTAGAAGAAAGATGCCTTGTTAATTACAATTTTGGGATAACTTAATTGTTAAGAATGAGACAAATCAATTGTTGAAATTGACTCATTTCCCAAAAGCAAGCGTAGCCTTTTAACAGGCGGTGGAGGAGGATTAAAATCAAGTCCACGTCTTTTGTGTCGCCTTTCACGATTTCGAGTTTTATGCTTTTTTCGTCGCCTGGTATTTTCAACACCTTCAAGTTCAACGACTTCGTACTCGGGCTCATAACTATCTTCGCTGAGACTTGTTCCTGATTCCATATTGTCATCGACAACTGGCGATCGTTTCACGCGTAATGTTAATTTTAATCTTCCACTTGTTTTCTCCGGTGTTGTCGGATACACTCGACAATTCGTATTTCCATTTTGCCACTGATAATTTGGCAATGCTGGAACCTTGAGAAAACTCTTTTCATTATGAATGATCATCCTAGAAAAGAGAAATTAAGATAAATTCACAAATGTTTTTAATAAAATTTCAAATTATACTATTTGCTCTCCAACAATTTTCATTTTTCTCTCATTTTTTGTTCTACAATTTTTCGATTTTTAATGACCTTAAGGATAGAGTTTGACTACATTTTTAACTATATCAAGAAAATGATTTACATCTTCCATAAAATTATTTTTATAATAATTTTTAGAGAGGAAATCAATGGTCAGAAAATATTCTGATCCTTTTTTTTATTTTTATTTTTCTTAACCCTTTGAGGACCAGTGTTGCTTTCAGGCAACATGAACATTTTTTTATTAACTCGTGCATAAATTTTTTAATTTTCAAAACTGAATATTGAAACAATAATTTTCACATAGTCTGAAAAATTTCGTATGACAGACACTGGTCTTCAAATAAAAAACTTCAATAACTGTCCCTGAAAATTTTCCTTAAAAATTAAAAATCGCGATTTTTTAAGAAAGAATTTGGTCCTCAAAGGGTTAAAAATTTATAGATTTTAAAATCCATCCGTAATTTTGTAGAAAATATTCTTTTTTTATTCACAAAAAATTGCCGGATGAAAAAAAATTATTTTTAATATTTTTCAAGTATTTTTTTTTAAAGACATTGTTTTTAGGTTGAAAATTGTAAAAAAAACCATTGTTATTCAATTTTTTTATATGGAAATTCACGTGTTCATTTTTCTAACTAATTTTAAATCATAAAAATAATTGAGTAATAATGGTTTTTTAAGCATTTTCAAAATAAAAAACAATGTTTTTTTTTCAAAAAAATGCTTCACAAATAATAAAAATCATTTTTTTCATTCGGCAATTCTTTTGTGAATACAAAAACATATTTTCTACAAAATTACGGATGGATTTTAAAAAATCTATCACTTTTTAAGAAAAATAAAAATCCAAAAAGGGACAGCATTTTTTTTGACCGTTTTTATTTTCCGACCATTGATTTCCTCTCTAAAAATTACTATAAAAATAATTTTATGGAACATTTAAATCATTTTCTTGATATAATTAAAAATGTTGTCGAAGTCTCCCCTTAAAGTTTTCAACGAAATTTATTTTCCCACTTAAATATTTCCAAAAATTACTGTACTAAATTAAAAAATAAATAAAAAATTTTTACTTATTGTTAGTTTCAATTTTACGTTGGTAAAGTTCACAAAGTTTATAATCAACGATTTATATAAAAATATATTTTTCTGTTTAAATTTTTATATATTTATGTATAAAAAATGTTTTTCATAATTTCTTGTTCAATAATTGGAAAAAAATGTCTAAACAATTTTATTGTTTTTGTCAAGAAATTATAGAAATAGTTGATCATGAACGTTGTGAATTTCACTGACGTTAAATTTTTGAATATAGAAAAAATTATATTTTGTACTAAAATTCAAATTGAACGAAGTAATAACAAAATTTCCGTTCCTTTGAATGTTCAAATATATTAGAAAATTAACGAAGTTAAGTCCACAATGTTGATCAACGAAAAAAAATTTGCTGAATTTATTCGAATATTTTTTTCAAGAAATATACAACAATTATTGTTGAAAATATCAGTAGAAATCTGCAATTTTTTATATATATTTTTTTAATAATACACTTATTGAAATTCTTTTTTCGATGATTAATTTCGTTGTGAAAATTAATATTAGAATAGTTTTGTAAAAATTGAAAAAAAATTGAAAAATATGTATTGAAATAAGTTAAAATTGAAATATTTATACTTTTAAATTATTCAAATATATGTCTTTCAGATTTTTTACATATATTTATTTATTTATTTACAGAAAAATAATGAAACCGAAGTTACGCAACGTTTCTAAAAATTGAAAATTAGAAAAGAATTTTTTTCAAAATTAAATCATATTCAATTTTGATGTTTCTAAATTTTTAAAGAATCAACTTTTTCTTGGTGGACAGTTATTTATAAATAATAAAAATTTAATGCCAAAGAATAAATATCGTCTCATCATTTTTCGTTTTTAAAAACGTTGAAGAATTCTGTCACATAAAAAATATTTGGTCCACAGAGTTAAAAAATTTGTATTCAAAATTATTAAAAAATATCTATTTCAAAATATTTGAAAACTTGTAAATTCAAATTTATTTGAAAATTAATTATATCTGAATTTATTTTTTACTGAAGTATTTTCTCCAAAGAATAACAAATTTGTATTCAAAGTTATTAGAAAATATTTATCTCAGTTTATTTAAGTATTCAAAATTATTAGAAAATATCTATTTCAAAGTATTTAGAAATTTGTAAATTCAAATTTATTTGTAATTTAATTATTTGAATTTATTTTTTACTGAAAAGTATTTTTTCCAAAGAACAAAAAATTTGTATTCAGTTATTGAAAAATTTTTTTCTACGAAGAATTTAAAAACAGTTATAAGTGGATTGCATTTAAATTCGATTTTTTAATACAGAAAACGAAATGAAAAATATTTTTACTAGAATTCGATTTGCTGAAAGAAAATAAAGCAGGAAAAATAATAAAACAAAAAAGTAGCGAATTTTCTTGAAGCTGAATTAAATTTAATGAATTTAATTTTAAAAAAATTGTGTAATATTTAAATTTTGAAGAATACAATTCTCATTTTCCAAATAAAATTTTTCAAAATTGATGTAATTGATAATTTACCCATTTGGCTTCTCTTCGACTTTAATGGAACTTTTTCTCGACTGATTACTGCTATTAAAGTTATAACTTTGATCTTGTGTTGAGCTCTTAGTCCATTGATCATCAGAAATTAAATTCTCGGTTTTAATTTCCTCCTTAATATTCACTTTCGTCTCCTCTGGTATTCCCACATCTTCCTGTAAATTCGTCTCCTGAATTGGAGAACGTCTTTCAAATTTATGTCTCATCACCGATGACAAACTAACACTCTCAAGATTACTGTCCTTCTCGCTGAATTCATAAATATCGCCTTGAATTCCCGAATCATCATCGGCCGCGCCAACAACTGCTGTATTGATAATTTTATCGACATCCTTTTTTTGACTCCTCGTTAATCGACCACTTGGATTGGCAACATGCGCAAGTTTCTTTTTACTAGACGTTGTTCCTGTTGTTAAGCGACTTCGTGCCTTTTTATTTCTTGATTTCGTTGATTTTCGACTTGATTTTGTTTTTTGCTCTTTACGTGGACGCAGTGAAACATCAAAATATTCACTACGTCTTGACAGTGATCTCTTTAATGTTAAATTTCGATTATCTTCCGATGTTTTAGTATTTATTGAATCGGAAATATTTGTTTCATCACAATTATCAATTCCAATTTCTGATTCTGATTCGGATAATCGATGAAGTTTTGCCTTTGATAATTCATTGTTTGTTTCAATGGGATTTATTTCGTGAAAACCCTCGGCAATCGATGGTTCCATTGAATTTGGGGAATTTTTCTCTTGCTCATACTTAACAAGTTCATTGCTGAATGTCTCCATTGTTAGGCCTAGAGAATTTTTCATATGAAAATCATCATTTGTTTCGTTAATATAAGTGGAAGTTTTTGGTGCTTTTCCATGTACGGGCGATTTTCGACAATTTGGATCAAGTGGAATTGAATTGTGTTTGGTGATTGTTTTATCGTAGAAAAATTGATTTAATGTTTCATTGGGTCGCGATGGTGATGAGGAATCCTTGAGTCTATTTACGTTTAGCACTTGATGATCACAGCGTTCAATTTTACATGTACTGACACAGAGATAGCCATTTTTTGTTTGTAAAACAGAATCATTTTTATCAATATTTTGTGAATTGTAAAGTTTTGAATGAGCAAAATTTTTATTCTCTTCAAATGAATGATGATGTTCTTTTTCGTATGAGGAATGTTCGGTGCTTTTGTTTTTTGTTTCTGAATTTGAGGGGGGGCAGTGAGCTGACAATCTGTCGTTGTAATTATTGCATCCACGTTGTTTTGGAATGTAATTTCCAGTGGCAGCTGATCTTAAATTTGGAATTTGTGTTTCATCGTTACGAATTGAATTTTCAATGTGATGATTGTGAGAATGAAATGTACAGTCACGTTCTTTTGATACTCGATCGGAATCTTCTTTTCTGTGTGACGCCTCAATTTCACTGTGATCCTCTGTCAAATCATCAAGTAATGAAGATGAGCTTTTATTTTGATTTGTTCGGCCTCTTTTCTTTTGAAGTCGTGAAGCACTAAAACGCTTCATATTATTTCTATTATTATTTCGTTCAGTCTTATTAACTTGCTTATTACGGAGATTTCTCGTTGCCGAACCAGCGACAGCGTTATTATTTTGTTGTCCTTGATTTTCCTGTGAATTCTCCTCATTATTCAACAAAAGTGGCTGTTGTTGAGCAATGTCCGAAAATCGACAGCCTTGTGCTATAAGTTCGGCATCGTATTTTGTTAAACCTTTTCTTCTTTCTTTCATGCATAAAGATTGAGGCGTTACCGCAGCATTACCAACTAGTAATTCATTTTTCTCAGTGAGAGTGCTTTCTATTTGCTGTTGTTTGTTTCTGTTCAAAGGCTGTTGTCGATGTTTTGTCCGGTTAATACGATTATCAGTTTCACGCAGTCGATAACCTGAAAAATGTTTTATTCAATCTCTATTTTTCAATTTAAAGAAAAAAACTATTTCAGTACAAAAATACTTAATTGAAAGTATTTCAAATTTTTTTTTAATTTTAATTTTCTTTAACGTTTGACACTTATTTCATTGCAAATATTTGTGATTAATTTTCTAATTACACTCACCAGACGATTGATCATCTCCAAGTTTCTGACTGGCGAATGCGCCTGTTCCACGCCTTTCACATGTTTCGCATTCACAATAACAGTTTCCGTCGCCAAAAAAATCTTCGCCATAAAAACAAGTGATTTCTTCGCCCGCTTCGATATCTCGTAAGGCTTTAACGCAAGCTGTATCCCGACCAGTTGCAACAAACTGAAATAAAGTTACATTTCTCACTTTTCGAAAAATTTAATTTCTGTCAAATCCCTACTTTTATTTTTAGAAATAAAGTTTTATTCTGATTGTGATATTTTTTTTAAAACTTGTATTTTTCTCTTATTTTTCCTTTCCGTCTTTTTTAAGGAAAGGATTTTTTAAAGAAAAATTATTCAAACAAAAAAGGGTTGCCACAAAAATTTAATTTTGTTTTTCCCTAACTTTTCTCTGATTTCCAGACAAAATTTTGACTTTTTTTCTGACCTTTAAGAATATTCTGATTCACTCTAAAAAATGAGTAAATTGATAACCCAGGTGGAAATATTCCCAGGAATATTTCCACAGTAAACAAATTTCTTTAATTGTCGAATTATTCCAAAAGCTCAATAATTTTATTAAAAATAAATACTTAATCTAGTATTTTTCCATAGAAATTAAGATTTTCAAAAAATTTCAAATTCGTATCTTTTTCAAGTTCAACAACATATAATAATTAAAGATGAACGAGTGATAAAATCATTATTTTATATTATAAGAATATTGTTATTGTAAGTTCTTCAAAATTATTTTCATCATTTCAATTAAACTATTATTTTCTAGAATTTGTAACTTAAATTCTTCTTTAAATCACTTATTTTTAATAATTTTTTAAAAGGATCTTTGAGAATTTTCAAATCCATTTGTTTACAATTAAATTTTACAAAATTTCAATTATTCGTAAATTCTTCAATTAAATATAATATTAGGAAATAAACACTTGAAATAATTTTAAAAAAAAATTCAATTAAACTTTTTAAAAAAAATTAGTTCTGCAGAATTGTTAGTTAAAAGTATAAAAAATTCAAATTTTCAAAATTTGAAACCTTTTCAAAATCCAATTACAATTTCTAAAAATTCATGCTATAATGCTTTTAATATTCAATTATTATCTACAATTTTAAATAAAAATGATTTTTAAATCAATTTTTATTCGAAAGTTCTACGAGAATTCAATTATTTAGGTAAATATAAAATTAAATAATTAATTGAATAATTGAATGCTTCTTAAAATTGAATTTTCATAAAGAATGTTATCAACAAATTTTTGATTAATTGAATTCTTTTGACTAATTTTAATAAAAGTTTTATTAACATCGAGAAATTCTATTAAAATTGTATTAAAAATAATTTAAATTCTGCGATGAGTTTTATTATTTATAAAAATAATTAAATTTTATTAACACTTTTTTTAAATAATTGAATTCTTTTGTAAAATTTTATTAAAATAGTAGATATTGAAAATTTTTGAAAATAATTGAAATTTTGCAAAGAAATTTATTGAAATTTTTAATGATAATTGAATTTCGGAGAAGAATTTTATTATTTATAATAAAGATAATTGACATTTTGACGAAAATTTTTTTAAATTTTTGAACATACACTGAACTCTTGCTGTAATGGACTAGTTTCATGATGAGTTGGTAAGCGGGAAACGGGGGCCCTGAATGTTATTGTGACCTTGCTTCAAGGGTACTCTTGCTGTAATGGACAGCACATTCGAGTCCATTACAGCGAGAGTTCAGTGTAATTGAATTTCTGCGAATAATTTTATTACTTTTGAAAATAATTGAATTTTTGCAATCATTTGTAACTTCTACAAAATTCAATTTCGTTTTTTAGTGTTTTAAACTAAAATTCTTCTATAAATTAGAGCTGTGCAAAATTCGATTCGAACTGAGTTTTGTTCGGTTTTGGGGCGCCGAAATGTCGAATGCCGAAAATTCAACATTTGAATCTCCTAGTTCGAATGTCGAATGTCGGAAACTAGGCTAATTCGAAAGTCGGTTTTTCGACATTCGAACTGGACTGACTCGAATGTCGAATATTCGACAATGTCGAACTAGGCGATTAAAATGTCGAATTTTAGCGTTCCAAAACCGAACAAAACTCGGTTCGGCTCGAATTATATATATATATATATATATTAAAAAATTTAAGTCATTTCAGAAGAATTTGAATTATTAAAATTTTTCAAATTTCTAAGTTCGTTAAAATTTTGAATTAAATTCATTCAAAATTGAAATTTAGTAAAATGTCATATCAAAACCTTTTAAATTTCATGAAAAGTCATTTCCGCAGTATTTAGTGCGCTCAATCCGAATCTGGCAACAAAAACCTTCCATCACGTCAGGTTTTTAAGAAAAGTGGGGGTGAATTCCCAAAAATCATGTTTTTCGATGTTTTTGGAATTTTCTACCGGGAAAATCTGACGTGCTAGAGACTTGTCATAGGACATTGTCTGTCAACTTTTATGCTTGACAACTGTTAAAAAAATCTTTTTTGACGGCTAATTTAGTTTGTTGTTAGCAATATCGCTATATCTTCGTAAAGTAGAGGCTTAAAGCTTTAATTTGACTCCTATGACAAGTTTCTAGCACAACGGATTTACACTGTATAAATTTTCAAAGAAAGCGAAAAACATGATTTTTGGGAATTTACCCTCACTTTTCTCAAAATCCTAACGTGATGGGAGGTTTTCGTTGCCAGATTCGGATCCAGCGCACAAAAAACTGCGGGAAATGACTTCTCCATCTCAGACAACGAAAATTTTTATTTTTTTACAGGCTTGTGTAATTTATAAGTAATATTTTTATGATAGTTCTTCAAGAATTAAGTTATTTAAAAAGAAATTATTGTCAGAAATAGAAAAAATTAAAGGTAATTATATATATGATTAATAATTATCAAACAATCCAAGTCAGGCAAAAAAATAAAATAAAAATTTATGAAGCAGAAAAAAAAGACACAAAAATTCATAATTTTCTTATGAATTCTAAAAATTTTATTTTTTCCAGTACAGGGTGGCCACCGGTCCTTGAAAACCTTGAAATGGACGTAAATTTTGTGAAACCTTGAAAAAACCGTGAATTGGACGTGAATTTTTTTAAAAACCTTGAATTTTAGTATTATATATTATTAAAACTAAAAAAAAAATTTTTTGACTATTTTCAAAATTTTATTTTTTGAAAAAATTAAAATTTTTTTAAATCTATACGATTGATTGTTCAGAATCGTAAAAAAGCCTATAAAAAATTCGGCAATGAAAAATAATAAAAAATGTAGAAGCAGTTAATTTTTTTAAGTATTACTATAGTAAAATTTGAACCAATAAAAAAAACCTTGAAAATTTTTTAGAAACCTCGAAAAAATCGGGAAATAGACGTGAATTTTATTCACGAGTTTTGGTGGCCACCCTGCAGTACTTTTAAGAAAAATCCCTTGACTTTTCCCTGATTTCCCTGACTTCTCTGACAAGTGGCAACCCTGCAAAATTATTTTTCTTAATGAAAATAATTACTTTGCAATTTGCTCTGCAATCGTGATTAATGTAAGCTGCTGGACCGAGCCAAAGTTGAGCGCAATTTTTCCTGCAACTGAACATGACTGAAAAGTCATTTTTCCCCGGATGTAATAAAGCAGCTTCCTCCTAAAGAAAAAATAGGGCGAAATTAGTTTCTCGAAATTTCTCCTTGATACATTTTCATTTTTGATGACAATTATTTTAATTATTTTTTTTATTGAACCTTTTCGGATAATTCTGCGATGCATCCGACGAGACAAGGAATTTCATCGTGTTTCAACCATTTACGAGTTGCACTTATTTTTGCTCCTTTTTGACCCTCCAAGGAATATCTGTAGCAAGCCTCAATGGCAAATCCAGAATCTTTATCGAAAACCCTTAAATATCGGTATATCTAGAAAGAAAATTAATTCACAAAAAATTGTAGGTTTTAAAAAAGTTTGTTTTAAAAGAATTGATAAAACATTACACTTAGCCACTTACATGTTCCTTTAGATTTCCCTGTTGTTGTTTAGATTTTGTATGTGGTAGACGAGCTCCCCAATCACCACCAATTAACTTTTTGTAGGTCTTCTCATAATTTTGGGTTTGAATGAACTCCTTGATAATTTTCCGTAGCTCTTCCTTGTTCGCTTTTAAAGGTCTATACCTATTTTTGAAATTTGAAAATATTATTAAAATTTCAATCGACACAATGTATTTTTGTAGAATTAAAAAAAAGATGCTTTTCGATGAAAATTGTATAAAATCTTACCTGACATTCATTTTGTGAGTGGTGAATCCTAAATAAGGATCCAATACGAGGGAAGTGGCTAGGTCGTCATTATCAGAAAGTTCTTTGGGTGTCATCCCACCACCATTTGTACCTACATTTGGCTGCATTTTGGAATTGACAGAAGTGCCTAATCTTCTCTCCTGCTTCCTCGCTACAGCTATCGAGCCCTGAACTGACAAACAATCTACCACCATTCTGCAATTTGTGCCTTCACTAAACAAAACAAACGACAAACAATTACATTGGAAATCGTTAAAATTAATTATTTATATTGTAATCAATTATGCGAACATGCCAACTTAAACTCATTATCAACGAGGTTATAATATGACTTATCACATTTTTAATGCGTTAAAATTAAGTCTCATTTTCAAATCGTTCTAATTAAATTAATACAAAAATTCAACAGTCAAATGTTAAATCATCTACTAAAAAATTATTGACACGATTTCATTTGTTCGACATAAAAAAAGAAACTTGCTGATAATTTCTATTTGAAATTCATTCTAGAGCGAAAATGTGAAATATTTTTATATAAAATCACAAAAGAAATTATTGAGAAAATTTCTGAAGTTGACTATAATTTTAAAATATAAATTCCAAATTGTTTTTGTATTTTATTATTCAATACCTAATTGAATATTATTGTGAATAATACATTTTTCAGTGCTGTGCAAAAAGAATATTTTTACAGCTATTTCAGTATATCATACTTGAGACTTTCTCACATGACAAGCTGACAAAATGCTATACACATCAAATTTCCGTTAACTTTATTTAAAATATAAATTTATATAATAGCACAATTTTCCACAATTAGTTAATAAATAAAAAAAATCAAGTTCGTCGTTGTTCCAGGGTCAAGTTCTGAGCAACCTCAAGATACATACTTGACACTTGAAAAAAAATCCAATTATTTCAGGGTGTGTTGGTTGTTTTTGTTTCAACACAAATTAAACTGATTAATCATTTTAAGAACGTAAAATAACTTTCTCATCATATGGACACTATTTTGTAAAAACGTAAAACTACTTTTTTATTTTTGGCAATTTGACACAAGAGTTCTTGGCGATTTACAGAAATGGCCGCAAACGAAGCCAAACGATCCAATAAAATGACTGTTACAGAAAAAAAAATCCATTTGCTTCTTATTATATTTCTAATTCACTAATTACAATTGAAAATAATTGACTGTCAATGAATTTCATGCTCACCGTAATTATCTGCTCCGAAAAGCACAAATTTTGCATTTTGCTAAATAATTTACCGACTTTTTTTCTCACTGTAAAGAAGACGCGTTCTGATCTATCATGGCAGATTGACCAAATCGCACACTTCCCTTATTTCCTGATTAATTAATTAAATCCTATTGAATTATGCGTGAAATCAACATATGCAAATTAGAGTATTGGGGGAAATTATTACACTAATACTTAACAAAGAAATGGAATCACTTTAAACCGACAATTAAGAAAAGAAATCTTGTTTTGGGCCTACACAACTTCGCGTACGATTCTATCGTGTGCATTCCGTTCTAGTCACAAATGTGGGTTTTGGCTCCATTAAGTCTGGAGGAATTTACACTCAATAATTCTCAAGTAAACCTAATAAAATTAAAGTATTAAAGTTATTTTTTCTTTTAAATGCGAAACAAATTTTTAGAAACGATATTTACAACTTGTTAAGTAGTAAAAATTTATTATAGCAGTACTTTTTTTTACAAGTACACTTGTTACTAGAAGTATCTAGTTTCTTTTTCCTCTATTGGTCATAATGGGTTTCCATGACGACGCACAAGTGTTGTTTACATATAAGCGCGAATAGTGTCCGAAAGCATTGTAGTAATCTGGAATTTAATTAGTATTTTTCATAACTTTTCAATAATAATTGTCCTTTTTTAGATATTGAAAGTAACTATTGTTAGCTATTTCACTTTATACAGTGTTATTGTGATATAATCATCATAACAGTGAATTAAGAATTAAATTGACAAGCGAACTCCATTCTAACCTCAAAATTGATTGTCACTTCAGCGATTATTGGATTCAACGTACTTGAAATATTTGGTAAATTATATTTTGAAATATTTTACTGTTTATTATTACTCGAAAAGTGTAAAAAATTTAATTAAAATAAAATTCAATATTTAATTATTTTCTTAAATTTATCGTCTTGTTAGGAAACTTAGTTTATTGCGTAAAAAATAACGCAGAAAGTTTTGATAAAAAAATGTCTTATTGTTTAATTTTTCAAATCGATAATTACTACTTTTTAGACTTTTCTACCTAATATTGACACTTTTTTGGTATAAAATTGTAAATATTTCGATTTTTATAAACTGTGGAAATTTAATATAGTAAAATCTTTCAGAAATAACTTTTAAATAAGCTTTTTAAGATAATTAAATTTTTTAAATATACATATAATTGAGGGTCTGGAACGGATAACTGCCTACTACGCATGGTTGAAAGAGACTAGGTATACCAGACAGGTAGCAGTGAGTGCCTCTATATAGACCTGTAGTTTTTTATGTAGTTTTTCGAAAGTAATTGAAAAATGTATAAAAAAATTTTGGACAATTTTAATTAAAAAATTTGAAAATGATTTTTTGCTACAAAATTGTAATAATAATTCTAAATGCATTTGGAAATATTATAAATAATTTAATTTAAAAAAATTTAAATAATGAAATTCTAAGAAATACTTTATTAAAAAATATTTTAATACAATTTTTAGTAGCTAATTTTCGTTAATTATTATCAGTGGAAGATTTTTCATTAGAATTTTTGATAATTTAATTATTTTCAAAAATTCGCAATGAAAATTGTAGAGAATATATGATTTTCAAAATTTTTAATTATTTAAAAACTCTTTAATTTAGGGTCTGGAACAGATAACAATTTTTAAAAAAGACTAATTTCTAGAATTTTGTATAATAATTTTTTTAAATTCAATCAGCTTAAAAAAAATTAAAATTTTTTTAAAATCTACTTTATTAGCTTTATTAAAATTTTGGAAAAATCGTGTATTTTTCTTGAATTGTTCAAAAAAATTGGATTATTTTTTAATACTATCCAAAAATTCTTCTAAAAAATTCAATTATTTTAAAAAAATTTAACTAAATTTCAATTATTTGATAATTTTTCAAGTATTCACCTAAATGGAGACTAGAGACTATAGGGGAGACTGGAGCGAAAGGTTAAGGGGGAGTGACACCTTTGACCCGAAAAAAAGTCGAATTTTTTTTTTTGATTAAACGATACTTTATAATGTGTAGAATAGAAATTATATCGTCATTAGAGATGATTTCGAAGTTATTTTATATGAAAAAAATCAAAATCTGCAAAAGGTGTCCAAGAGCGCTTCAAGTGCTTTCAAAACTTTAAACGCGTTTTTCTCGAAATGACGTTTTTCAAAACGGTGGGCAGTCTAGCTAGAACAGTTTTGATCGGATTGACTTCGGACAAAGTTTTTTTTTTGATCGTCATTTACTAATGCTTTCGAGTACGTATAGTGGATTTTTTTTGGTTTCTTTGTTTTTTTTGGCAACCGATTTTTAGACAAATTTTCGCCCTAAAAATCGACTTTTTAATTCAAACAACTGCCAAATACACCAAAATTAATATTTTAAAAATATTCTACGTACTCGAAAGCTAAATCTATCTCAGCTTAAGAAAAACTTTGCATTTTTGATTTAGATTAAACGGTCTAACCGAAATCTTGCCCACGGATTTGCTCTGCAGAGAAAGGTGACAAACTTCGGCGCCCTCTATAGGCAACAAATTTAAACTTTTTACGTATAAATATATTTTTGTAAACTTAAAAAGTTAACAAATAAATCACCCAAAACCAAATTTTGTTTACTTTATTCCCGTGTCTTAAAAAAATTCATTAAAAACAGGTTCAAAAGAGGCTTCAAACACGGAGAAAAATGGGAAAATGATTTATGCAATCAGTGTAGTACTCCTTTATAGAATAATATGTGACAGGTACACACTATAGTATTAGAAGTTTCATAGCTGAACAGTTTGGGACTCAACACAAGTTATCCCATTCATCAGCTTAAACAAGACTGTTTATATAGTCTAAGAGGGAATAAGAGTATAAAAAATTGGAATGAGAAATTTCTTTCTCATGTAATTGTTAAAAGAACGCGGCATAGTGTACAAAACACAAGTCAATAATAGAAGCGAATATTGAACAAATAGTACTCAGTCCAGTTCTTTCGAAAAATGAACGCCGTGCACATACAGTAGATACCTACTCGAAAACCACAAGTTATTCTCTCTCTCTCTCTCTCTCTCTCTCTCTCTCTCTCTCTCTCTCTCTCTCTCTCTCTCTCTCTCTCTCTCTCTCTCTCTCTCTCTCTCTCTCTCACACTAATGGTCGTTCACTTATCTTACCGTTTCACTTACTCTTACTACTCTCAACTATTATGCAGTGCAGTTAAGTTCATTAAATTATTAAATATTGGTGTGAAAATAATTAATTATACATTTCATTCAAGGTCAATTCACTATTTTGTACACTCAGTTGTGCTTAGGGCTTAACCCATGCATTGCGTTCGCGAACGACATTCGCAAAGTAGTTGTGCTTAGGCCTTTACAATTATACATAAAGGAGCATTCAGACCTCTGCAGGCTGCCTGCCTGCGCAGGCAGAAGATCGTTCACACCTCACTTTTCTCGTTGAAAAATGAGGGAAGATTTAAATATCTATTAAAATTCAAATCTTCCCTCATTTTTCAACGGGAAAAGTAAGGTGTGAATGATATTCTGCCTGCGCAGGCAGGCAGTCTGCAGAGGTCTGAATGCTCGTTAAGAGCTACGTATAATAAATAACTTTTCAAAAATAAAATTTTTCAAAAATCATAATTATGAGGGGCTGGATCTTAAAACAACACATAAAATTTCTACAGCGGTATTCGCTTGGCTTTTTTCTCAAAAACTGTTATAAATATAAAAAAATCATGAGAAGAAAAAAGATGCGCAAGGAAATTTCCTATAAGATAGTGAAAAACTTTATTTAAGAAAATTATTTTTGGGGTGTCAGGAGCCAACAAAAAGCACTGTATAAATTTTATGTGTTGTTTTAAGATCCAGCCCCTCATTTAATTCATAATTTTGTAGTATATAGGAGATATTAATATAAAATTATAATTTTAAGAATCTTTTAAATATACTTTAAAATATATTTATCTATATAGTTTCACTAGCTGACATTTTTTATAATAAATACTTATTATAATGTTCATATTACAGAATTTGGCGCCATTATCTTTGGTTTTCAGGCAGTATTAAAATTTTTGTATTTTATGTTGCATGGTTGGTATTGATACTTATAAATTCACAAGTTTTAACCTAAAAAAATCTGCCCGCCCTTCGGGCAGCTTCTACTTAGACAGCTTCTAATATTGCTCTAAAGGATGGAAATAAAGGAAATATTAATGAAGAAAGTCACTTATATGGTGCAGGCATCGTAGATTGAAATGACATTTTTCAAAACGGTGGGCAGTCTAGCTGGAACAGTTTTGATCGAATTGACTTCAGACAAAGTTTTTTTTTATCGTCATTTACTAATGCTTTCGGGTACGTAGCGGATTTTTTTTGGTTTCTTTGTTTTTTTTTGGCAACAGATTTTTTGACAAATTTTCGCTCTAAAAATCGACTTTTTACTTCAAACAACTGCCAAATACACCAAAATTAATATTTTTAAAATATCCTACGTAGTCGAAAGCTAAATCTATCTCAGATTCAGAAAAACTTTAAATTTTTGATTTAGATTAAACGGTCTAACCGAAATCTTGCACCGATTTGCTCTGCAGAGAAAAAAGACCAACTTCGGCGCCCTCTATAGGCAACAAATTTAAACTTTTTTTACATATAAATATACTCATACGAGCCTTTTCCGCAATGAGAAGTGTATAGATGCTTGTATACGAGGTGACTTTTAAAGCATTTTTCTTAATATAACACTATTTTAAAGTAAATGTAGATAATAGAAAAGAATTTTCAAAGTAAAACAAAGCTAAATTTATAAGGGAAATGAAGTTTTAAGAAAAAAAGGATAATTTTATTCAAAAAATTGAGACGCATGCATATCCCCTAATCGCCAAGTCGTCGAATGATTAAACAGTCGAATGCCAAGTAATCGAATGGACAAAAAGTCGAATGCTAAAAACATCGAATCGGCATTTAGTCGAATGCTAAAAACATCGAATTGTCAATACGTCGAATGTTCAAAACGTCGAATTATCAATTCGTCGAATGTTAAAAACATCGAATCGTCAATACGACGAATGTTCAAAACGTCGAATTATCAATTCGTCGAATGTTAAAAACATCGAATTGTCAATACGTCGAATGTTCAAAACGTCGAATGATAAAAACGTCGAATGCTAAAAACATCCAATCGTCATGTAGTCGAATGCTAAAAAAATCGAATCTTCAGTTAATCTAATGCTAAAAACATCGAATTCTCAATTCGTCGAATGTTCAAAACGTCGAATGTTTAAAACTTCGAATGGTAAAAACCAGGAAGGAAGAGTAAGGAGACCGAACTCTGTGTAGAAAGCGCTTTAAAAATCTCAGAGAAATATGCACGAAAAGTGCCAGGCTCACTGCGTTCTAGTCGACCTCCAATTAAGTTGATCATGCGCATAAGCTGTGTTGTGTCTCTGTTTCTCGTAAAAATTGTGCGAGTGAGATGTAAGATCTAATG